TTCTCGCGCTCCAGTTCCTGGACACGAGCCCTGAACTGTTCCGTCTCGAGCTTCATCCGCTCGTAACTCAGCCGGTCCACCACCAAGCAGTCCATCGGTGGTCACGAGGTCACCGCTCAGTCGCTATCTCTTCAGATATCTACGGTTGTTGCGGTTGCCGCCCAAATATTGGTCGCGTGTGTCCCACACGTGAGAGTCACGTGGTTTGCGGCGATAGTAATGATTTAATTGGCAATTAATTGCGAGTTTTATTGTCAACTCAAATGAAAAGTTAGTTTTTTTTATTGTTTATGTTTTTGAGTGAATATTACGTTTTTGACATATGATTGGCTGATGTACTCGCAAAAGGGTTCAATTGATTAGGAATTGTTTCGACTTTTTTATGTAAGCATCAATGAGTCATATGATAGTATTTTGTTGACTTGAAAGGGCATGTATTTTCGTATTTCATTGACGGCTATTGTATTCACTTGTCATTTATGGACTAAAGGTTTTAGACCTTTTAGTGGTTATAAATCTTCATGTATTTAATGTGTTTTAGTTATCATGAAAAGTCACAAATTGTCGATTATATTACTTTTACGTTATTTACCTAAGAAATAACGTTAAATAAATTAGCATAATGTAAATAAGTTTATAACGAGATTCAGTACTATTACTTATATAATACCTGTACTTTATCAATGCAGTTTATAGTAATAAAACGTACCAAATCAGCGTAAGACATATAAACCATTTGTTCACTCGTGAAGTGTTAAACATAAATCCCATTGACTTTCATATTGAAAGCAAAACACAATGAAATTTATGTGAAGACAACGACAATGTTTGGCACGTCTTCAGCGAACTGATCCCATCGCCGACCACAACAATGGACTGCATTATAGACTACGAGTCCTATCAGTCGCTGAAGCAGTCGTACGATCAGCTCGTGGACAGCAATCAGCTCTTGGAGTCTGAGAACGAGTCCCTCACGAGTAGTAATCGACTGCTGAAGAGACTTCTGGAGACATTGGAGACGATTAAGACATCGTTGGAGCAAAAGGTGCTCATAATGACCACTCAGTTGAACGGCATCCGCAGCGACCAATTGGTGCCATTCGATCGGGAACTGCAACGTCTGGATGAGGACTACTGTCACCTCAAGTGTCTCCTGAATCGCGTGGAGTTCGACGAGGAGGTGGACGCCGAAGACGTGGACACGAGTCACGCCATTATGGCCGCCGACGACAGCATCGACGCCATGATCGCCAGCGATGACCAATTGGGTGATCATCACAACCAGTCGTCGGTCGACGACTATAGCGCTGCCGTCGACGACACCAATGATGACGATATCAGTGCCGCCGATGACGACAACGACAATACGGACAGCGCTGTGGATCAGACGCTGAGCGGCGCCTCCACTGATGGCATATATGTGTTGCATCCGTCGACTCCCGGCGCCGCCAACGATGAGCTCAATACCGGTTCCTATAGTAACAGTGTCTTAGCGACCGCTGAAGACTTGGGTGGCGTTCGGCGGCAGAGGAATAAGAGATCCAAAGGTGTCGTAAGATTTTGTATTGATTTTGAGTCTATTATCTCTTAGTTTAGTTGTCGTTATCTGTTTGCCAACGAGTGGTAAACCAGTGATCGTTGTGTTTAAGACTTATTTAACGCATATTTTCTTAACCATTGACACGACTTCTGCAGCGGACGTGACCCCCGGCGTGAAGCGGTTCCGGTGTCCGTGGAATGGCTGCGAATACGCGACCGACAGTTCCGGCAATTTTCAGAAACACTATCGCATTCACACGGGAGAGAAGCCCTACCGGTGCGACTTCGAGGCCTGCCTATACAGGTGCGTATCGATTGGTGGTAACTCATGAGTGTGTGTTTTAATGGGTGTATGTCTTGACTGATGAAACAGTTGTTCAGATCCGGGAAGCATTAAAGAGCACAAACGCATCCACAGCACTGAGAAGCAGTTCCGGTGCGAGTGGGAGGGCTGTACGTGGAAGTTCAGCACTTATAAGCTACTCAAGAACCATAAGAGGGCCTGTCATACGCTCGAGAAGCCGCATAAGTGCGACTGGCCCGGTATGTCGTGGGGCTACTGTTCCCCTCACGAGTTTGAGTTTATAAACTCATGTTTTATTATCACATTTACACCAATAGGTTGTGACAAATCGTTTTTAGCGCCGTATGCTCTCCGCACACATAAACTCAAACACACGGGTATTCGGCCGCATAAGTGCGATATGTTTGGCTGTACGGCCTCTTTCGCCAGACCTACAGGTGCTTTGAGAACATATTTTGTCAGAAATGTGTTTATTTTGATTGTTTATTCATTTTATAAATTGGTTTTTCATTTATCGATAGATTTAATGCTATTTCTAATGTTTTTATGATTTTTCTTACGTAAGACTTGGCTCGACATAAGAGGGAAACGCATTGCACGGAAAGGCAATACCTGTGCGAACATGAGAACTGCGGCTCAAAGTTCTATAGGAAAGACGACTTAAGGCATCACATCCGCCGCAAACACGACTGTCCGCAGTTCGGACGCCGCGCCAAACGGCTCCGCAAAGGCGCCGATAGTAAGGAAATGGTGGTTAAGAAAGGAGTTCGCCGTAAGCTGTCGATGAAGACCGAGGATAACAGCGCCGCCGAGGGCTCGCTGGGCGCCGGTGGCGGCGGCACCGGTAGTGACGCCACCGAGGGCTTGGATGAGCCCAAAGTGGTGATCGACTTGAATGTGGCGAAAGTGAATCAGTTGCGCAAATCTATTCAAATTAATTTTGTTTAAAAAAGTTTTTTTTGTTTATTATTTAAAAGATTAAATTTAATATTTTCACAAATTCTCTCTCTCTCTCTCTCTCACTCACTCACCAAAGCCTGACATCCATTTGATTACTTAATTAAGTTATTTAATTAATTAATTGGCATTTTATCACTCGACAGATACGTGTAAATGATTTTTTGTATAAATCTTTTCAAATAACGATATTTAAATTAGTTATTGTGTTTCGGTTACATTTGCCATTCAATATACTTTATGAAATATTTACTGTATTATAAATACGAGTTTTATTTTACAAAATAACACTTTATAAAACACAACAAATTATTAAAATGAATTAATATTGTAAAATAAATTAAAATTGCAATTGCAACGTTAAAATTAAATCATATATTGTATAGATTTATGAAAATTAAGATTAAATAAAAATTTATACGGTAAATTTAATAGTTTGCTTGATTATTACCGTAGTAGTGTTACGTAAATAAATTTGAATTTATCATTACTGGAAAGGTATGTTTTACCGGGTAAAATTTAAACTATGTTAATTAATTTTGAATAATAATTATACCATTTGAATAATAATTACATTTTTATTTTCAAAATAGATACAAATTATACTGATACAATAAAAACTATAACAACAGTAAATGTAAAAACTTTACAAAAAAAATTAAAAATAATAAATAAGTATTAATTAGGAAATGAATGAAATGTTAGAAATTAATGATCTTTTTATTGCAAAACGATTTCAACTCAATGGGCAAAACATCGTTTGGTATATGATTTGATGCAAACATTTTGGGATAATGTCTTAATAGGTATGTGCGGCACAAATGTTTGAGCGACAGGTGCTCTAAATAGTCAACACTTTTCACTTCGTAAATGTTCAGTGAATCACATTTAGCCGACAATAATAAGTCGATAATCGGTTTGTTTTGTTTGATATTCTGCTCGCAAACCGCATAGTAGAGGGCCGTCCGGTGGGTCGAGTCCTCCACATCCGGGTCCACACCATTCCGCACCAGTATTTCGATGATTCTGGTCATGAGTTTCATGTTTTTCTCGTTGGCGTTGATCACAGCGTAATGTAAAACTGTTTTTCCAAATTTGTTTCCTATGTTTAGTACATTTGCCTAAATATATGGAAATTTTTTTGTTAAGTTTAGTCTAAAATT